TTTATTAGATAATTATTAATTAAAAATGTGACCACAAATTAAAAAATTAAAATGGATAAATTTGTCAATAAAATTAAAAAATTTTAATCCGCTAGCGGTTCGGTACAAAATGCTACATAAACTAACTTTTTCAATCTGCTAGCGGTTTGGACTCTAACCGCTATTCGCTAGTCTTAAATTGCTAAATAAAAATTTTACCAAACACTTTATTTGTACCAGTTTCGAAATATATAAATTTACCAAACATATATTTAGCGGTTTAAGTAAAACTGTTAACCGTTACCCCAAAACCACTATACCAAACAAGCCCTAAGTCTTCTCTCTAAACTTCTCACTCTAAACTTCTCACTACAAACTTGTGCTCAAATAGAATAGAATACTCATGAACTTAAACTTCATCACAATGGTGATGTTTTTCAAATTTTGTATCTCCTCTAAGATTTAAAGATTTAGAAGTTTTTGAATCTCCAACTCAAAAATATCCAATTCCTTGACACTAATTGGATCAACTCCTAAAAAAATACCCTAATTTCTAAAAAAAGAAAAAAAAGTATGTCATGCAAATATGAATGCAAACTAATGTAAGAATGGACACCTAAAAGTTATTCTCTTCCCCAAACTTAAATCAAACATTGTCCTCAATGTAAAATAAAAGTAAGAGAAAAGAGAAACTTCTCAGGTTTTGCACTTGAAGACTTAAAATTTAAGTTGTGAAGTTGAGTTGTCTTCACTTAGAGGAGACTTCTAGCATGCGAATTTCCATAATCTTATCCCCCAAACTTGTTCAATGACTTGGCCAAAATCAAAGAACAACCATTTATGCATTAACTGGGGCCATAAAGAGAAAAAAAAAATCTAAACTATTAAAATAAAAGACAAAGAAATAAAAGAAAAGAAAATTTTATGCTTGGGTTGCCTTCCAAGAAGTGCTTAATTTATAGTCATTAGCTAGACTTTCTACCTCTCCAAGGTGGTTTTGGATCAGGTCGTAGGGCATGTCCTCTCGTTTTCTTAAATCTTGGCTTTCTTGCCCTTAAGTTGAATCCACCATAAGATTTTCTCCAAGAACTATTCTGAGGTGGTTCGGGTTTAGGCCAAGAGATGTGCCTTCCCAATTCTTTTAGGAGTGCCCCCTTTGATTCCCCCTTTGATTCCAAGGAAGATGATGTGTTCAAGCAATTTATGTATTCTTTGATTGGGTCCTTTGCTTGAATAAGGTAAATCTCAAATGGATCCTCATAAGTGTTTTTCTATAAAATCTCATCAACCATATCAATAACAAAATAATCATTAAAATCAGATTTGGTTAATGAAGACTCCCCATTGAACACTTCAAATGACACTTGAGTTGTTTTCTCTCCTTCCTTAGGGACATCCTCTTGTTTAGTTTTTGCAGCTATGCTTTCCACTTCTTCAAGTTGTCCTTCAATCACCAAGCGTAAAGTGTTTACCTTTTCTTCTTGATTTTTCATTGTTGCACTAGGTAACTCACCCTGTATCTCTTCAGCAACTAAGTTGAGCAAATTACTTGATTGGACCTCTAGATTTTTATCCAAACATGTCTCCTCTTCTTGATCTTGAAACCTTGATTGTGGCTCCAATATATCTTCATTATTCCATGAGGAGTTTCAATAATTTATCCAATCAGAGTTGTATGTATTAGAATAAGAATTATACTGCTGACTATAAAACTCACAAAAAAAATCAACACACTTGTTATATCGTTTAAATAAGCAATCAGAACTAAAATGGTCGAATCCACACCATTGTCAAGTGATATTTAATCATTCTATTAAAGCCTTCTTTAATTTCTGCCTTTCGATGACTGCTTGAAATCGTTCAAGTTCATCATCGTCAATTTTTGCATCTCAATTGATAGTTATTGCTTCAACTTGTACCCTTATCTTTGGTGCAAGCCATTGATAATTCATATAAGTGTTTAAGAGAACTCGATCCCTAGTTAGCCCTACAAAAACAAAAACAAAAAACAAAAAAACTCAAAGTAAATAAATAAAAGAAAATTATATGGAAACCTCTAGCTTAAGAAGGGGGAGTTCCTAACTCTCTTTTCTTCCTCTACTACCACATGTAAGCTAATTACTTCTCTACCTCATAGTCTAGCACATGATTTATATTATTATTGGTCTAATTTACGCAGTTCTTTCTCAAGTTCATGCATAGATCACTAAATCAATTAAAAGGTGATCATGCTTCCAATGCATTCAATTCAATAATATAAATTCCTCATGCGAATAATTTTAATTGAAAACATAAAATCACAAAATCTATATTGAATTGAGTAAGCTATATTGTAACCCTAATAGAATAAATTAGTTCATAATAAAAATAATAAAATCTAAAATTATAGTTATGAACATTCGAATGTCAAATAATAGATAAACATAATCAAAGGAAAAATAAAACCCAATTTGAGAAAATTGAACTCCTTGATCTTTTATTGTTGATGAAACCTTTATTTAATCTTTAAAAATACCCAAAAGAGAGTTGCCACCAGCCTCCTTCCGCTTTCTCAATTCTAAATTTGGAAGGTATTTATAAGATTTTAAAAACTCTAATTTGACTAAAAATGAGACCCACACCCATAATAACCAATTAAACACGGATTTTGTGAAAATCCCATAAGGGGTTAATACCTTCAACAAGGTACCGACATTTTCTGTTCAGGGCACAATGCCACCACCATGTCCCTTTTTTGGCCTTCATAGCAATTTCTATAATGGTAAAATGACAATCTTGGTCCTTGACTTCTAGATTTTGTACAATTTGATCCTTAAGTTTTTGATCTCTGCAATTTACTCCTAAAAATTATGATTTCTTTCAATTAAATCCTTTCCTAGGCAAAGAATGAAAATTATATAAAATTAACTAAAATCTCATAAAATTCATCCAAATATCAACAATATTAAGGTAACAATTTCACATTAATATAACACTATTTTTTTTAGTGTTATTCATTAAGGTTATAAAAGTAATTTAATTTTTTTATTATCATTTACAACATTATTTTTCAAAAAACTTCCAGTGATTAACAACATTTATATAAAAAGCTTTTTTATTTCACTTTAACTAGAATTAAGACTTAAAAGTGTAGTTTTATAAATAAATAAATAGATATTAAAAAAAGTTTTTTTATGAATTTAATGTGATTTAGTTTTAAATTAATTGAGATTTAATTTAATTATAAAATATCAAAACATTAATAAAAAAATATTAAGAGGGTAGGACTCGGGAATTGAATTTGAATGTGCTTACGACAATATTTATTTATTTATTTATTTTTTGTGGTTATGAGCGCTTTATTTGACTTTGAGCATACTAGGGGCACTCGCCTCCTTCACTCTCCGGCCAACACTTCCACTTTCATTGGGCCACGTAAGCCTGCTTGGTGTTTTGGAACGCAACCTCTTAAATCAAAATAACGTGGCCCAATCAAAATGAGAGTTTGGCTGGAGAGTGCAGGAGGCGAGTGCCCCTAGCACTGCTCTTTGACTTTAACTAAGGATTAGCAGTGTGAGTGTCCGTAATTGAAATGTGCTCATGAGGAGTGATATATCAGTGTTCCACAAAAACTGAAGGAGGGAGGGGAGAAACAGGAGAAGAAAGCAGGAGGAAGGAAGATATGGGTTCGTGTCCTCCCTTTGACTTTTCTGCAAAG